GATGTGTTCTAGTCTATTTAATGTCTTTTTTTGCGAAGAAAAATTACCGCTAAATAACCTATTAGTATTAGGTCACTTTTCATTCAACATACGGGAGTATTAGTGTTTTAAAACAGAACTATAAAATTACAAATGCACAATTGTATATATGCATGCCTGTTCTTTTCTTTTGCCTTTGCTTATATTATATTACCATGGAAGAAGGAACAAAGCGATGAACTAGATGAGCTAGACTATAGTTCATTTTGTCCCATACCCGTATTATCAGAAGAGACGAAAGAAAAAAATATATTTACGAAGGTGAACAAGTAAAATTTCAATGGACAATTGCCCATTTGCCAATTTCTGGTTACGCCACTGACGGGTGAATGTCCCGTTTTCGCTGATTTAGTACATATATAACTGATTGAGTTTATTATTTAATTCAATAAATAAAAGTTAATTTATGTATTTAAATATTTTTCTAGAGAAAACTATTTAAATTGAATACTTGAAGAGCGTGATGATCTTTTCCTTCAAATATCATTTATTAACAAAAGAATAAGTGTCATGAAAAGCATCTAATTGAGACAGAAATGTGACTTTCAATTAATATAAAACATAATCAATTTATTGATCTAATAGAAAATCATTTGAAAATACTTGATGAAACTTACGAAGTTTTATAGACAAAAGTAAAACATGATACATATATTTTAGAGTATCGATATGATATCGTATCAAGACAAATAATAAACAAATACATTTAATTATTCATCAATAAATTTTTTGTAAAATATTGTTTATTTATTTTTTCTGTAACATATGTAATAAGAATAAGAGAAGAATTATTGATAAAATCTCTTATATTCATATAAATGATAAAGATTTACCGTCATATATTTGACTGATATATTAAGAAACTAATGAAGATATTGAGTTAAATATAAAAAAAGCAAAAGAAATAATATGGACAATAGACAATATGAATTGTTTTAAAATGATTTGAAAATATTGCTCTATATATATAGATCATGAGTAACAACTATTCTTGTTAGATGACATTCAACGGTAAGAATATTTATAGAAAACATTATATTCTCGATTAGACTAAACTTTTTTCATGGTTCATTTATTGTTCCCCCTCAAAACCCGCCCTGTACGTCGTCGTGGTGTGGGGGCGAACACTGAACAGGAGAATGCTCGTTGAGGCTATGCCATCAGTGATGAAAGCTCCGGCTGAAAAATCACCTAGGGCGCTACGCGAGGTGGACAGGCTCAATGAGAACCCTGGAAACGACGGCCAACACAGGCGGTGATTGGGTGGCCGGTCTAGAGCGGGCATAAAGATCTTCTTCATAAACGGTCAGCCACCTTACCTGCGTTCTTCCGGCAAGGAACCAGGAAATTCTCTGCCTACGTAATTCACTATGAGACAAAACCAAAATACTGTCACGACTAACGACGTAAACGGATCCCAATCATCAAGAGTGAAACCCGCGTCCGGTAGGGTCGGAAGTAAGGCCGACTCGGTCGTCATCAGGCGAAATCCTTACAATTCTTACAACTCTCAAGAAAAACGTTTTTCGTTCAAGAAACTATTTCGTGTTGGTACATGGAACATAAGAACACTACTAGAGACAGATGCAGCTACCATCCTCGTCTCAGAACTTGAAAAAGCAAGAATCAACATGATGGCTCTCCAAGAAGTACGCGGCTGCAGGAGTGGCTCTCGCACTCGATCAGACCGCCGTCGCATCTATGATCTCATGGCACCCAATCAATGAAAGACTGTTGACGGCCAGATTCAAACACAACTTCGGCTTTCTCTCATTAACAGTAGCCTACGCCCCCATAAATGAGACGAGTGACATTGACAAAGATGCCTTCTATCAACAAATTGAACAAGCAATGAAAACGACACATCAAAGCGACCTTATCATTTGTCTTGATGACTTCAATGCTGTTATGGGAACGTCAAGAATCAATATGAAACACGTCATTGGCCCGTATGGAAGTGGCACCCCAAACGACAACTCCGAGAGGCTACTGAACTTCTGTTTGGGAGCTGGCTTAAGAATCAGTGGTTCATGGTTCAAGCGTAAGGATATACACAGGCACACTTGGTTCTCAAACAACGGGGTGACCGTCAAGAAAATCGACACATTTTGGTAAACTCTAAATGGTCTGCCCTGCAAAATTGCCACGTCTATCGTAATATGGAATTTGACACAGACCATCGACCTGTAATCGCTACAATGGCGCTAAGGCTAAAACGCACAAGCGAGAAAAAGTCACATACATTATGTTATAACATTAGGAAGCTGGAAGATCCTGCAGTGCAACCTCAGTACGCAGTGAAAATAAGCAACCGCTTCGCTGCATTAGCAATTGACGGGACCTCCAACTGGAACAGATTCAAAGATACATTAAACGATGGGGCAACAAAGCAACTAGGTATTCGCAAACAAATCAAGAAGCCCTAGGTCAGCGACACTACCCTCACATTGGTTGAGAAAAAGAGATAAGCAAGACTTCTTAGCAAACATGATGAATACAAAAAATTGAACAAACAATGCAAGACAAATCTAAAACTGGATCAACAACAATGGGCTGACAACATGGCAAGAGGCGGCACTCATCAGAGGTGAAGTGAGGGACGCTTTTGCTACCTTTCGACGCTTAGCTAAGACCATCACACCCGTCTCTAGCCCAATCCTGGACGCAAACGGGAATCTGATCAGCGACAAATCACAAAAAGTGGAATGCTGGCATAGCTATTATGCTGGACTTTTCAACCGACCAAACGCACCCGATTCCGAGGAACTGACTACCGCTGCCCAATCGGCCATCGAAGACCCAACCATCAATTGCAGCGAACCAACGATGAAGGAAGTTATCAACTGTCTAAACAAAATGAAAAACGGCAAAGCACCAGGCATTTGCAATATCACCCCGGAGATGATGAAAGCTGGAGGTGTCGACTGTAGTATCTGGCTAACCAATATTTACCAGGATGTCTGGCGTTCCGGAGTAATTCCTTCGAATTGGAAAAAAGGCATTATTCTACCATTCTATAAAGGAAAAGGTAACAGGCAGGAGTGTAAAAACTACATAGGCATCACATTACTGTCCTGCCCTGGCAAACTGTTTGCGTGAATTCTATTGTCAAGAGTGAAGAACTTGCTTTTGACCAAGCGCAGGAACGAGCAAAGTGGCTACACACCAGGCCGATCAACGGTGGACAGAATCTTCACATTACTCACACTGCTTCAAACACGGCGCGAATACAACCGCTCACTCTGGATCGCCTACGTTGACCTCAAAGCAGCATTCTACTCGATCGATGCAAACGCTCTTTAGCTTATACTGACAAGTCTCGGCGTTCCCAAGAAAATCGTTGATCTAATAAGGGAACTGTATTCTGGCACATTCAGCTGCGTTCGCGTCGACGGTCAACTATCCGACTGGCTTGAAGTCAAAAGCGGTGTTCGCCAAGGGTGCACAATTGCTCTGGATCTGTTTCTAGCACCAATGGTCTGGCTACTCAAACGAACCGTACACCGAGGGTTGCTCGGCGATACACTGGGTAACGAAGTATTCACTGATTTGAACTTTGCGAACGATGTAGCACTTCTACTGACATGGGAGGTCATGCAGCACGTAGAAATCAACTGGTCAAAGACAAAAATTCAAGAAACCAGAACCGAACCGACTAACAACAACGCACTATCTGTAGGCGGCCAAAATGTGGAGGTGGTCGACTCATTCGTCTACTTAGGTTGCACGATTAACAAAACAGGCAGCAGTATACCAGAAATCACCAGAAGGATTGCAATCGCTCGGAACTGCATGAAGACCCTGGACAAATCCATGTGACGCTCAACCATATCGCTACAGACTAAAATCTGTCTTTACAACTGCTATATATTACCAGTCCTTCTGTACGACACAGAGACCTGGACAATAACTGGCTCGGTCGAGAAAAAATTAGATGTTGTCGACAACTGGTGTCTTAGACGAATTCTCCACATACCATACACGAAACACATCACAAACAAAGAAGTCTGTGAACGCACCGGCCAACCTGAGATTAGCACAACTATCAAAAGCAGACGACTACGACAACTCAGACACATAGCCAGTGGCGATCCCCTCTCAGACCACACCAGAGCACTGCAAGCAGGCATTAATGGACCACGATGTGGATGGGAACGCCCTCGAGGCAGACCACGCCACACGTGGATCCTCTTCGTCGAAGATGACTTGCGTTCATTCAATCTAGGTCTCTTCTCCGCCTGGAAAAATGCTCAAGACAGGCAAAAATGGCGTAGTCTTGTAGTAAAATCAACGTCCAGTAGGATACGCTACAGATGATGATGATTTATTGTCACTTTATGTTGAATGCTGTCAATCAATTATTCAACAGTTAATTCTCCAAATTGTATGTATATTCGATTTGAAAATGTTCTTCAAGAAATTTTAAATAGAAATTTTATTATATGAATAAGCTGTCTAACGGTAAGCTACTTGTTAACATATCTACTAAAACCGATACATCACTTCATATATGTACCGAAATATTTGAGATTTTTTTTTAAATTTCAAGTAAATATGTGACTAGTGAGAGAGAGTCTAACTTTGTATCGATTCTGAAAAAGTTATCGTTGTAGATAATATTAAATGAAATATAACATAGATATATGTATATAGACATTGGTATCAATTTTTTTAATATCAAATTGAGTAAAACTCATTAGTTGATAATCAGATCAATATTAAATATTGATTAGAACTATATTCGAATAATTACAGTTCGAATGTCAATAGTCTATTGATGAATATAATAATATCCATCAAAAAATATATTCTAGATAGTAAAATATAAGTGAAATAAAAATAAATTGTTTAATTTATTTTAATTAAAATAAGTTTCAATTTATTTCGAAGAAATAAAAACGAAAGTAACTGATATTGAATAATAATTGATGTTATAATTAAGTTGAATATTTAATTATATATTAATATGGATAAGATTTTGAATAATCAATATCTAAACCATTATCACATTGTTCTTGATGTTTTTGATCAAGATATTTTAAGAGAACATCTTCATAAGCTTTTTTTCCTTTGTATATAGAAACATCATCTGGCCAACTTCGTATAGCTGAAGCTAATCGTCCTGGTACACCTGCTTCTTTAGCTATTTCAACAATTGGAATAAAATAAGGACGAATAGTAAAAAGAATAGCTCCACTTCTTGGTAATCGTCTAAGTGTTTGTCTTTCACTACGAAAATAAATATTTTCAATTGGTGGATTTGGTTTAGCATTTATCCATCCAATACCAAATTGATCTTCAGAACCAATTGAATTTGACCAAGCTAAATCTCCATCTGTTTGAATAAAATAATTATGTCTAATAACAGGATGTTCAGGATTCATCTTTTGAAAATATCTTTCCATACTATGTTGTAATTTTTCTTTAAATTTGGGAACATCACCTGATAAATGAATTTGTGCAAGAGGCATATTAAATTTATCTTGAAGACGCCAAAATCCCGGAATAATAATTGAACCAGCTTTAAGATAATATTGTCCGTCAGATCCTTCAATCATTAGAGCTAAATCATCTTGAATTAAAAGTGATGCATATTTAAGAGGATCATCACTATTTATACTATAGATTTCTCCTGTTGTTTTAATTCGAATTTTTTTATCATTATTATTATTTAATTCATATTGAAATAATGATGGATAACGATGAACTAAATATTCACAAAGTAATTCCATTGTTTCATGTGCAGCATCATATGCTTCAGGTGCTGTTTTACATAAAAGATGAGCTCTTTCTTCTGAAAACCGATCAAGTTTTACTTGATGATATTTACTCCATTTATTATCTAATTCAATCCAATCATTTAAATCTAAACGTCGAATTCCCATTGTTATAAAATAATCAGGTCCATACTTAAATGGACGATATGGTAATGGACGAGTTGTTTCAATTGACCAATCAGGATAAGCAACTGGAATAGGTGATTTAAATGAAACTGGAATCCATTTACCAAATGTTCTCCTCGTAGAAGATTTACTCTTTGTTGATTTTCTTCGTCGATATTTAATGATCCTTAATAATGATAGAATA